TTCAGGCAGATACTTTTGGAAAAATCAGATTCACTGATTTTTTGTTGTAACACTGATGTAAATTTTTTTTTTTTTTTTTTTTACAATAGAACCTTTCAGGGCATTTACCAGGTAAATAGGAAATCTTGACAGTTGACTGGGTCCTCTCTTTTGAGGTCTGAGACAAGGAGAGATGGGAGAGGGGAGAGGGAGGAAGAGAAGAGGAGATGGGAGGGGAGGAAAATGGAGGGGAAGGAAGGAAGGAAGGAAAAGGAAAAGGAAAAGGAAGGGAAGGGAGAGAGGGAGAGGCTAGGAATATATTCTTTTAGGGCCTACCCTGAAGAACCTACTTTCTCCAAGTAGGCCTCCTCTTCTCCATAATGCCATTAAATTATGAATCTGCCAGTGGAGTAATGCCCTGGTAAGGTCAGATCCCTCAGGACTCAATGATTTCCTAAAAGCTCCACTTCGAACACTGCTCATTGTTTGAACATTGGGACCAAGCCTACTGTTTGTAAACCTTTGGGAACATTAATGATCCAAACTATATCAGAAGTTTAAGTAGTAAGCTTCACCAGGACTCACCTGTCTGTGAACTATCTCCTGCTTAGAGACAATAGGGAGAAGAATAGAGGGGTAGACTGAATATTTAGAAGATGTTTTGATGTGCTAGTGCAGGAATAGTTGGGATCAGAAGTCAGTGATGGTTGGTTGAAGTGCTTTGACAAGCCCTATCCCACTGGGTTGAGAGTACAGTGAATTGTTAGCTAGTTCTTACTCACTTTTTACACCGAGAAGAGTAAGTGGCTTCTCCGTTGTTAACATTTGTCTGTGTAAGGAAGATGCTCATGCAAAGTGGATGATGGAGGTACTTTTTTTTTTTTCCAAGCCAAACTGTATCCAGCTTTATTAAAGATACTTTTCATAAACAATCATGGTATTTCAGGCAGGACATGGGCACACAATCTTTAACAGTATACGACAACTTTCAAACTCCCTTCTTGGATGGACTACCAAAAATCAGAAAGCCACTATAAAA